CCTTTTCAATTAGAGGGACCTCTTTCTAAACTTTAAAAAAGTTTTCTAAAAATCTGATAAATTTAAGAAATATGAAACAATTTTTAAACTACTATAAATTCAGTTACTGCTTTTAAAATATTAAAATTTTGTTATCAAAAGCACCTACATATATTTGAAAAAATAGTAGCACATATGTATGAGACATATTTATTTCCTCTGTAGGGAATGCTTGGTGCAAATGTGGATCCAGCACCTTGCGTCCCCCCAAAGGTCCCCAGTAGGCACACTCTAATTAAATTGAATGTACCTGTTTCTGTTTCTTTCATGTACTCCACAAAGGGTTGCACAGAGGGGGAAACTGCTTAAGGCATGGGGGAAAAAAATGACTTTAGTTCACACACCCCCATCTATTAGGCCTCCAAGAAATTGTCAGATAATTGCTAGCTCCTAGGAGATTTAAATAACCTGTTGTATTTTTGTTAAGGAGATTTTTTTTAAAGGAGGTAAGTGGAAACAGTCCAGAGAGGTGGGGAGGACTATCACAGAAGACTGGACAAGGTGTCATGAAAGGAGGACAGCAATCAGAGACCAAGTCTTCAGGGGAATGTGAGGATGGCAACTAAGGATTAGTTTGAGACTGATTACAAGCAATTACTTTACAAATCCAGTCTAGCTCCAGTTGCAGGCAGAAAGGGGTAAAGAAAGGAAGTAAGCATTTAATTGTTTAGTAGCTGAGAGATGAGATAAAATCAAAGTTTTAGAAGTGGACTATTGAGATATCAGACGTAACAAGCAGACCTTGACACAAATACTCCTGATCAGCCATGAAATCCAACAAAATACACGTGAAGATCTGTTCTATCTGCAGAGAGATGCCATCAAACAGCAAGTGTTCAGGGTAAACACCTAGGGCAAACCTTGGGAACAGACCCCAAGACACATCCACTTTCACCTTAGTAAGTTAAGAACACTTTTAGTTTTTATATTGCATGATATTGATTCGACAAATAGCCATGAGTACTTTCAAAGAGCTAGATGTTATAAATGGATAGCTCATCCATTCAGCCATTTGATAACTATTTATTTAGTATTCACTGTATGCCAAGCACTGTGTTAGGAACAGGATTTCTAGGAAAGAAAGGAATGTCGTGAAAGAAAGGCAGAACTACAAAAGGGAAGAAAAGAATACGGTAAAGGGAAGCCCAATCTCAAGGGAGGATTTAATTTTTCACTGGAGATTCAGAGGCCCGTTGAAAGATCAGGACAAAGGAACTGAGGGTGGGGTTAGGGTAATAGAGTAGTGAGTCACGAATGGAGCCAAAGCCCAAAGGAAATGTGAGGGGAGGGAAGTGTAAAATATCAAGATGTGGATTTTCCTTTGAAAGAATTTCTAAGCTCATAAGGGAGCTAACATATATAAAACTTCTAAAAATATAAAAAATGAGAAACATTTTACCAGAGAAATCTAGGATTCAGAGTTAGGATGAGCAACAAAAATGAAGTTTGGATGACTTCATGTTGTCTTCTGAGCATAGTAAAAATATTAGCCAGAATTCTAGAAGAAAGTAGTAGCACTGTTTGACTTCAATCCACTGTGAATAAGGAAAACATCTGGGTGATACAAGGAAACTTATTGTTTAGACTGAGCATCAGACTAAGAATTCAGTATCTCCAAGCCTTATGATTCCTCAGGTCAAAGTGTTAAATCTTTGTGAAGATCTAAAATGCAAACAGAGTAAAAATCCTAGGTTAAGACATCTAGACAGGTATAGGTTATTTAATCACTTTAAAGTTAAATTTAATTCACATAAACATAAGGGCGGGGGATGAAATGAGAAGTACTGATAAGAAGACAGCTAGAGTTTTTTTATACTAAGCCATGATCTTTAAGAAACAGGATATGGTGAAAGTAAGAAAGAAAAAAAAATAACATTGATAAGACAGCTGCTTTGGAAAAAAACAAAACAAAACAAAAAATCTCTGAAAGACCTGATAAATCAACAGTCTGCATTGAAAGCTGTTAAGGACAGACTAAGCCCACTGCTGCTCAGATCTAATGCACCCCTGATTTTGAATTGAAATCTGTGGTGTTCTATTATTCTAAAAACTCTAAGATATTCAAGGACTTTGTCAAGGACATTAACTTAGAAACAGAAACCCAACCCTGTAGTTGCTAAATGCTTGATGAAGGCTGGTAATGCAAAATATCTTTCTCCGTCTGTGATTGGGAGTTTATTCTTTAGGCAGTGGGGAAAGTGACATGATCAAAGCAGCTTTATAGGAAGATTAAGTACAAGGGTGATCTATGGAATGAATGAAGGAAAGAAGTGGGAAGACTATGGCATAAAAAGTCATTAAAATCCAGTTACAATAAGTTAGGAAATAAAGATCTGTGGTGGCAGATGAACTGGAGCAAACAGGGAGGATATTGATCTCGGTACACACCTGGATTTGAAAATCAGTGACAAGGGAGACACTAGAGAAAACATATAGTATGATTTAATATAGTTTGAACAAGTTGGAAAATTTTGTTTTGGAGTGATAAGGAAGGATAGAAGATAGATTTTGGTTAGATTTTATATAAGGATGCCAAAAAGATATTCAGGTGGAAATAGTCACAGGTCACTAGGCTGGGATTCAAAGGATGAACTAGAGATTCTTTATTCGGGAGTCGTTTAAATGGTTCTCAGTTAGGGTTAATTTTGTCCCCCAAATGATATTTAGCAATGTCTGGAGATATTTTTGGTTGTCACAACTGGTAAGATGTTGCTATTGGAATTTGGTGGATAGAGGTCAGTGATGGTGTTAAAATATTCACAATGTGTAGAACAGCCCCTTACGACAAAAGTTTATGTGGCACCAAATGTTGATAGTGCCATGGTTAAGAAACTCTGCTCATAGATGTCATAGTACATTAGGGATATCTTGTCCAATCAGTGTATATAGTATATTTATGTTCAATTTAAATTTAATTTATAGAAAATAAAAATAGTATCAAACATTTATTAAATCTTACTCTATTTCACGCATTGTCCTCACATTACATGGTGTATTTAATCTTTTGAATGCTGTAAGGCATATGTTACCTTTATCCTCCTTTATAGGTTAAGAAACAGATCCACTAAAAAATTAAGATACCTGCCAAAAGCCACATAGCTGGCAAATTTGGGGGCCCAGATTGCAATCAAAAAGTCCATTTTCAGATCCATGATTCTAACCACTAAGTTGGAGCATACAGTGATTATAGGTATGGTACCCTCAACACCATGGCAGACAAGACAGAATTACACAGAGCAAAACATTATACTCCCTTCATCCTTCTCCCTAAGCCAAACTAAACCAAAACAAATCAAACAAAACAAAAGCACTCTCTCAAATATTAATAGCAATGTCTTTCTCTGTCACTGAAGATTCCATTATGCCGTTGATACATTTGAGACACTGAGCATTTTGTCTTGGAGGAGGGTTTCAGGTGGGGGAGGAGACCTTGAGCTCTATCTAAAGCAGCAGTTTTGACAATCTTAGCATTTGACATATGATGTGTCCAGATGCACTGCATCTAATTTGTGAGTAATAATAAAGAGCCAATTTTTCCTAATGTAATTTTTACTATGTAAATTAGAACTGAGTAAAAATTAGTACTATAATAATATATATCATATTTTCTTACTTTCCACTATGCCTTTTTGGGTGTCAAAGAAAGATACAAATTTAAAGCTAATGACATTGGGGGTGGTGCTGGATGTTCACATGTCAATGTCCCTGTGATTCGGAAGACTGAAATGTATTTTTTGAAAATTACCGATTTAATAGTCAGAATGTAGTCAACAAAATAAACATTTAATTCCTCAAGTTTGACTTTTAAGTCATCCTCTTTGAATATAAATTATACAAACATTTATCTTTTTATCAAACTAGATATTCAGAGTTTTAGTATGATTTACTCTCCATTTGGTCAAGATGACAAAGGTGAAACACTTTTCTTTGAAGTGCGGTGGCTTCCAAATTTTTGAAAGAGTGGACTTATTCCTCAAATGAATATTAAGAAATAAAAATATCCAGTGATGCCCGGGTGACTCAGGCGGTTAAGCGTCTGCCTTTGGCTCAGGTTGTGGTCCCAGGGTCCTGGGATTGAGCTCTGAGTTAGGCTCCCTACTCAGCAGGGAGTCTGCTTCTCCCTCTCCTTCTGCCCTGCCCCCTGCTTGTGCTCTCTCTCTCTCTGTCAAATAAATAAATAAAATCTTTAAACAATAAGAAAGAAAAATATTCATAGTAAGGAAAGGTGGAAAAGAAGGAGAGAATTTCTGAAGCCAGAATGGGGAAGCAGGGATGGTAGGTAGTTGGGGAGAGGACACCTGGGGAGAGGGGGTCCAAAGATCTAGCCATTTGACATCATTGATCTACCCGTCAGGCAGCATTTTAGGCAACTTTGGAGGCTCCGTAGAACATAGTTTGAGAAGGATTATCCAATATATTTTAGGGTAATTTAGATAATAAAATTATCATAACTGTCTTAAAATCTTGTAAGTATATTAAAGTTGCAAGTCTAACTGATACTCTAATTAAATTCTGCCTTAAATGTCATATTATGTAATATGCATATACATTTCATTAAATGCTACATTTTATTTTATGTGTTAAACTTGCATTTTTTTATTTTCAAGTGGTGGGCAATATCCTGTTTCTGCCTGTGGCTTATATTCATCTCTTGACCATTTCTGTCAAAAATGCAATGTACTTTTTACTGTAAAAAACTAAAGTAAATTATATTTAATAGGCTTTTAAATATAGTTCTCTGACACAACACTTAATTTAAAATGGACAATTTTACTCTTTTACACTGTGCTTTGGGAATATTTTTAAGCAATGATGTATTTCTTCTGATTATTCTCTTATTTTCTGATAAACAGTACTGTAATAAATTTTGATCCTGCCTTTGGTCTTGATATTTAGTAGCTACGTATTTGTTTTCTTTGATAGCAACATGCATTAATATTTATAACCATTTTCCTTTGCAGCATCTCCCAGATGGCTCTGTGCCCAGTGCACATGTCGAATTTTATCTTTTACCATATCCCAGTGAAGTTCGTAGGAAGAAAACGAAATCTGTTCCAAAATGTACTGACCCCACTTATAATGAAATTGTAAGTATGATTCATCTCTTGTCCAGTCGCTTTGTATTTTTTCTTACCATTTTTTAGTTTAACAACCAAATATGGAAAATTTGCAGTAATTGGCAGCATTATTCCATAAAGGGAAGACATTTTACAAAATAGCCACTATGTGCTGATCACTGTTCTAGATGCTATGGGAACTGGAAAATACGGATTCTGCTTTCAAAGCACTTACAAACCAATTTTCAAGTTGTGGCAAGCCTCCAGCAAGAGCCCAGGATGGATTTTTCTTTCTTTTTTTTTGTTTTGTGGGAGAACATATTTATTGACAAATCTGACATACAGGTATGTCTACTTTCCCCCCAAATTTACAAAACACTATATATAAATAGAATTACACATTTTAAAGTTATTTTAAAAGAAATATTTTGAGAAGTAAGGCATAATTTTTGAAAATAATTACCTAATTTCCAACTGAATAATATATTTAGATTTTTTTAATTTGTTTATTGTTATGTTAATCACCATACATTACATCATTAGTTTTTGATGTAGTGTTCCATGATTCATTGTTTGTGCATAACACGCAGT